CTCTACGAGGAAGCCACCGCGGCCGGCGTCCGCGAGGACAACGCGCGCTTCCTGCTCCTGGCCGCGCTCATCGTGCTCTACCTGCTGGGCGGCGCCGCCGTCTTCTCGGCGCTGGAACTGGCGCACGAGCGGCAGGCCAAGCAGCGCTGGGAGGGGCGCCTGGCCAACTTCAGCCGCCGCCACAACCTGAGCCGCGACGAGCTGCGCGGCTTCCTCCGCCTCTACGAGGAAGCCACCGCGGCCGGCGTCCGCGTGGACAGCGCCCGCCCGCGCTGGGACTTCACCGGCGCCTTCTACTTCGTGGGCACCGTGGTGTCCACCATAGGTAAGTGAGCCGCGGCGCGGGAGCCTCGCCCGCGGCGTCGCCCATGGTGGAAAAACACCTGGGAGCTGCTGCCTCCTCAACAGGTGGGGCCGCCTCCGGGCTGCTGCGAGTGCGATCGCTGGGCCTGGGGCACCGGCATCACTCTGGGGCCTGTTGGAAAGGTAGGGCCCCTGGCCTCTCCCCAGACCACGGGAATGGAATCTGCACTTTCACCGAATCCCCAGGAGGTGTGCGTCCCTGGGAGAAGCCAAGGGTCCACCCACTCAGCAGCTACCCAATCGGTTAACGGTTTGCCTCCACTCACCGTGGGGCGGTGGCGGGGTGGGACTGGGGTGCTGGCCAGCCACTGCTGAGGAATTGGGCCCAGCTCTACCCTGACGCCGGTGAGATTGAGGGCTAGAAGTCGGAGTTGCAGCCAGCAGAGACTTGCAGTCTAGTTAGAAGTCAAGCATTGAGGTTGGGGGGCTTTGGGGGAGAGAATGTTATCAATGAAATCCACGGCCATCAAGTCGCTTCTGCCCCTTAGCCACTTTGCGCACAACAGAACAATACGCTGCCCGGCCCGTGCCACCCACACAGTTGTTCTTCTCTGTGAGCCCCTGGTTACAGCCACCGTGTCAGTCCAGCTCATGAAGGGCCTTCCTCCTTTTTGGCTGCCCTCCTCTCTACCAAGCATGACTTCCTTCTCCAGGGACTGGTCTCTCCTGACAACAAGCCTGCAGTGCGTGAGATGAAGTCTCCCCATCTACTCCTTCCAAGACAGAGCTGGGTGTTCTTGGCGCGGTCGGTCCGTGGGACTTTCGGTATTCTTTGCCAGCACATAGTTCAAACGCATCGGTTTTTCTTTGATCTTCCTTAGTCTGTGTGTAACGTTGACATGCGTAGGAACTGATTGAAAAGACCATGGCGTGGGGCAGGCCCCCCCTCAGTCCTCAAAGTAATCTGCTTGCTTTTCAACCCTGTCACGAGGTCTCGTGCAGCAGATTGACCCAGGGCAGTGCACACATCCTCTGGCCTCCGGCCAGCTGCTTCCATGAGCATTGATTGTGGCCAGGTGAAAGCCCCCCGTCTTCTCTGCATTGACCGTGGCGGGACCCGTCTGTTCCTTAGGTTTTCTGACATGCTAAGTCTTTGCAGGACCGGACAGTTTCATCTTTCTCCCGCAGAAACTGCTGGTGGGTTTGAACAATGGACCTGCTGGTTAACAGCAGCCTACCCCTTAACCCACTGCCCCCCCCCACCCCGGGAAACTTACGCTGCCACATTGGGAGCACTGAGGTATGGGGGTTTGTTTGGATGCCCATGTTATTACTGTAGCGGGCCTGGGTCCTTGACACTCAGCATGATTTAGGATTGAGAGGAAAGTGGTTGCGCTCAGAATGGGAGAGTGGCCTTCAGTGGCTGGTCCGGGGAGGGGGGGCAGGGGTGGGGAGGTAGTGGGAGGAAGGGAAGGAAGGCTCCTTATCTCATCTCAAGGATGAAGGAGGACCTGCATTGCCAGACAAAGGACCGGGGACGATTCTTACAGCCACCAGGAGCAAGGGTGTGTGTGGCGTGGCTATAGCCAGTCATGGCTTTGTTCCCCAGCCAAGGTGAAGAGATGAGTCTTTGCACACATCCCTGAAGACTGACCCCTTCGTGCATAATCAAATGGTGAGGGCCAGGGGAGCCCTAGAGAAATTCAGTGGCAAGAAGAGCATTTGGGAAGATGGTGCCGAGGTGGCGGCTTTGAAAGGGTAGACGGAGCGCCAGAACACCAGGGGCCGAGACAGAGGCTCACAGGGGCCCAGGGTGCAGACACTGGGTGCTGGGCAAGGACGTCCCCCGGGCTTTCTCGAGGAGCCTGCCAACCCTCTAGAGGCTCCCAGGCCCCAGCGAGCTGTGTAGATTGTCTGGGAGGAGGATCGCAGAGCGCAGGGGAGCTGGGCCTTGTCTGATGGACCCCACAGCACTTTCCAAGTCTAGGTGCCCATTCAGCGTCTCCTTGGCTAGTGGGTGGTCAGGGACACACAGACCGCCCCCCCCCCCAGGTGCTTTGCCTTGCACCGGCCAGCTCCCAGGTCCCACCCTGGGCTGGGCATCCTTTCCTCCAGCAGGGGAACTGCAGCATCTCCAGGATAACCAGGTGCGAGCAAAGACTGCTCTCTGGACCAGGGGTCCTCAAACTATGGCCCACGGGCCACAGGCGGCCCACCGAGGACATTTATCCAGCCAGCCAGGTGTCCTGCGTGTCCTGCTTAGCAGCCGACTCGTCCAGTGTGCATAGGAATTTGTTCACAGTTTTTTTTTTAAACTGTAGTCCGGCCCTCCTATGGTCTGAGGGGCAGTGAACTGGCCCCCTGTTTAAAAAGTTTGAGGACCCCTGCTCCAGACCATTCTCCATGAGGCCCACAACAAGGGTTCTCATGGAAGGACAAGGGGTAATACCCCCACCCCCAACACACACACACACACACACACACACACACACACACACACACACACACACACACACACACACACACACACACTTCTCGCCTAAACCCCAGTACTCACTCGATCACTTCATGGGATTCCCTAAATCCCACAAGGCATCATTTTTTCAGAAGACAGTTCTGGGCTTTCCACGGTGGAGGAGCTTGGGGAGGAAGGGGTGGTGATAGCACGCCCCTTGAGTCTGCTGTGCTCATTTTTAGTGGGAGATTGGGGGCCAGCAGGCAGCCCTTGGCACAACCCCCAGACGGGGGAGGAAGGAGCAGAGGATGGGCACAGGCGGGTGGACACTGGTGCAGTCTGGCCCTAGAAAGTCAAGAGCTGGTAGGATACAGGCTTAGGCAATGCGGAAAGCGCAGTGGAGTAGGACGGGGCCCGTGTTGAGTCCTGAGATGGAGCCCCCGGTCTTGCTTCTGCCGCCCGGGCGATCAAGTCTCTCTTTCTGTGTGCCCCAGCCTTCTCCCAGGTGTCCACAGAGTTCAGTAAATTCTGATCCTGCACCCTCCCCACCCCATCCCCCGGGGTCTGCCCCATCGCAGGACAATTGTGTGAGGCAGAGGAGCTGACCTAAGCGAAGGCCCCTGTCTAAGCCTAACCATTCCCTTCTCAGTGGCCTGGTTGGTTTTTCCCCCTCGATGGGGAGTGTTGCAATCACAGCGCTGGCCACTCTTCACCGGCTGAGGTAGGTCTGTGATCTGCTGCGCTCAGCAGGGGATCTCCTTCACCCTTCTCACCACGACGTCCACAGGGCAGGCCTGGGGAGCCCCATTGCATGAAGAAACGAGAGCTTCCTGTGTGTTGCGAAATAAAGTAGGAAGAGGGACAAATAAAAATATCTGTAGCATCATCATCCCAAGTTCACATTGTGGTGTGTTTCTTTCTGCCTTTTCTATCCATATATGTAGTGTGTGTGTGTGTGTGTGTGTGTGTGTGTGTGTGTGTGTGTGTAAGTAAATTGGGACCAGATCCCATAAACAATTTATATAGTACATCTTTATCTTCACATTACATGATGGGAAGGATCCTTGGTGGTGTAATGGGTTATTCATTGGGCTGCTCACCATAAGGTCCACAGTTCAAAACCACCAGCCACTTCTCTGGAGAAAGATGAGGCTCTCTACTCCCATAAAGCATTACCGTCTCATAAACCTACAGAGGCAGTTCTACCCTGTCCTACAGGGTCGCTGTGCGTCGGATCGGCCCGACGGCTATGAGTTTGGGTTGGGTTGGGTTGTCTGGAGGATGACACAAGGGTAGCTTTCTTCTACAGACTCAGTCCATCAGCAGGCCTTCTTTGCAGAGTCAGCCAGGAGGCCGGCAGCCACAAGAAGGTGTCCTGGGAAGTCACCAGAAGATAGAAGTAAAGCGGGAGGCCCAAGGATAAGGCATGCAAACATGTGGTGAGAGATGGGTCCAGGCAGCTGCTAGAGAGAGGCGTTCCCTGTGGTTGGGCTGCAGAAAAAGCCGAGAACTGAGCCGCTGGTTAGGAGGTGCAGGGCACACAGGTAGCAGCAGGAGAAGGGGGATCAAGAGGTCAAGGGGAGCTTGGGCACAACACGAAGCACGAGCTCCCAGTTAGCTCACGGCCGGGCACCGGAGTATTTATACACCCACAGCTGTTGGCCACTGGCTAAGTGCTGCCCTGTCGTTTGGTGTCATTGAAGCCATTCTTGACCCTACACAGTAGAGGTGCCCCACAGGGCTTCATGGCTAGAATCTTTGTGGACAGATTGCTAGGTTTTTGCCCCTGGGGGGCACCCAGATGTGTTTGAACTGCCAACCTTTTGGTTAGCAGATGGGCCCTTAACCCACAGTGCTCCCTGAACAAAAACCACTGCTGTCGAGTCGATGCTGACTCATAAGGACCCTACAGGACAAAGTGGAACTCCCCTGTAGGCTGTAATCTTTGCAGGAGCAGATGGCCACACCCTTCTCTTGAGGAAGGGGGAGATGGGCTTGAACCGATGGCCTTTCGGTTAGCAGGGATGCAGGACTACCAGAGATCCTTCAAATGGCCCCCAGAATCAAAAGGAAACCCCCTGCCCTCTAGTCGATTTCAATTCATAGGGATCCTTTAGGTTTCCTAGGTGAGATCTTTACAGCAGCAGGCTACCCCATCTCCCCCGTGGACAGCTGGTGGGCTACAACTGTGATCTTTCCGTTTGCAACTGAGCACCCCAAGCGCCCTGAAAGCTGATCCCCAAACTAAACCCATTTGCTCCTGGCTCATAGCCCCCCGAGGGACAGGGGAGATCTTCCCCTGTGGGTTTCTGAGACTAGACAGCTGTCTTTTCTGGAGCAGAAAGCCTCGTCTTTCTTCTGTGGAGTGGCGGGTGGGTTTGAACCACTGACTTTGTGGTGAGCAGCACAGTGCTTACCCCACAGCACCACCTGGGCTCCTTCAAGCTGCTCTCGGGGGAGAGACACCCTCAGGACTTCCAACCTGACTCCACGAGCAGTTCGTGGCAACCCTTCCACCCCGGCCGTTGGAAGCCAGGCCGGTGTGTCCAGGAAAGGCCCCAAGGCAT